CACTTGTTGGCCTGTTCCATTCTTCTTCGTTTTCCGAAGCCGTGGCTTGGAAGTATACTTGCTTCGTTTCTGAAGGAAGTGCCTTGGAAGTACGCGACTACCAAGCCAGCATCCTCGAGATTGAGAAACGGCCAGGCTGTCGTCTTCTAGTTCAGGTTCACACAGGGGTCCTTGCAGGTCAGAGTTTGTCAACTGATATAGTTGAGAGTACAAAAACACTTTTTAATTACAATTACTATACTAGCAGCTGCTCAACTTATGTCTCTGCGTCTTCAGGGTGTTCACAGGGAAAAAGAGAGAGGCGGAGTGATTCGCGCCACTCATTACCCTGGGTGTACATTCTAGAGTGCTCCGTGCAGAAACAACATGTATTCATACATATAAATGACATAAAGGGGTCTAGTAGCCCTATATTTCATATGGGTTAGATTATCATTTAATGTAATTAGTGTGTGATGTCCACAAATGATCGTACTAATGTGGCATGCTTCTTCCTCTGAAATGAACTCAGCAGGATACAGTTTACAATAACATACTTCAGAGTAGCCTTGGAACGCCATGTGGAGCTTGACTACGCTCCGCCTTGGCCTGTCATGCCTGTAGAACATGAATATTTGATGTTGGGCACATGATGTAGCTGGTATTTTGAAGGGACGTCTTTACTCTCTCCAGATGCCTTTTCTTGTTTGAGTGGCTCTGATTACAGAGAAGATACAAGGTTTAGAGTAGACACAGAGACTGGGTGTGTCTGCACTCACAGTCAGACACATGGGAACAATTACAGTGTGTGGGGTATTGGCTCTTCTGTCTCTGTCTGCCCATCTCTTTCCTCATGCTGTCTCTCTTCTACTGTGTCAATGATGAAGCATCTGACTTTTAAGACAAGCAGATTGTTGCTTTGTTAGTTTGTTTTTGTCCTTTTCCAAATTCTTTATTCGACTCTGTATCTCAACAACCCAACGAATGTGGAATGACTCACCTCTTTTTGGACTTTCTTTAGCAACCAAATCCACCAGCCAAAGAAAAGTAGTTGCAGTGCACTCATAATTAGTTTGAAACAGTATTCAATATTTTTTACAGCCAAATGCAGGACTAAGTTGTGATTCATGTTATCTTTAGTTGGTTTGAGTTAGTTTGCGATTCAAATAATACCAAAGCTCATGTGTCTGAAATATGAAAGCTAAGACTGTTATTGGGTTATTTGTTTTGCAATTCATTTATTGGATTTGTCACAATAAACTGCTTGTTATTATTGCCTGGCCAAAAAGGCCCTATCAAAGGTAATCTAGTGGAAGAAGAATCTGTTCAAAACAATTTAAAATGAAGTTTAGCAATCAAAGGTAGTGTCTTTTTCTTGGCTTTCCCTTAAATGTATTTTTCTAGCTGTGTTTGTCAGAAGCACAGCGGCATGGGAGTAAACAGTCATACAGATATTCTCTCTGTCCTCAAAATAGAACAGAATCAAGTCCTATCTACCGAAGTGATCTGAGGCTGTCACTCATTGTTTATGGCAACAACATCTCTTAGGCACCAGACCAGACTGAGACAGTCCATATACAATTAATAGAAAATACTATTTGGCACTTGTCTCTGCCTTTCCCATAACCTCTCTCTCATACCACCTCATATTATACCTCCCCTGTGTCTGTATTATTGGCACGATGCAGATTATTGTTTCTTTCCAATTTACCAGAGGACATGAGGCAGCTTTATTAAGACATTAGATATTACAAGAATACTTGCTGTAGAAACCACATGATTGCCCTGTTACAAAAGTAATATACAAATGAGTGCTGGTATCAGGGCAATTTTTTTTTATCACATATCCCAAACATAACCTTTGATGAATAATCAAAGCTCAATTAAAAAAAAGTTCTGGTGAATGAATGGAGTGAGCACCCTACAACTCAAATCCTCTACAGTGTGATGCGCATGTTCCATTTTTCATTATCAACATGTTGAAAATTGGACTTAAGAGCAGGTGGTTCTGAGGAGACAATTATTAACTTGATATTTTGTTTCAATATTTCATTTTGACATCAACCTTGATGCTTCTCATTGTAAAATACTGGATGAGTGGGGTTACCAAACCAAATACAGATCTGACCTACGTAACGCATCAAAAGTCAACATTTTAGTTGAAACATTTTATCCCAGAAAAGACCAACCATCGATAGATTAACATATCTGAAGATATTCACATTGTAATACAGAAATAATCAAATCCATATAATTCGGAATGAGATCGGCAGGTCTAAAGAAATACAACTCTTCATACTAACTTTTTTTTTTTATCTTAAAGGTGGGGTATGTAATTTTTTCGAGAAACCAGCTCGAGTGCGCTAGAATTTGAAAATACACAACTGGAAAAAATCTGCCACTTCTTTACAGAGCCCCTCCTCCAACACACACAAACGCACACATGACCAATGAGGGCACGAGATAAGTTTGTGCACAGATGGAAGGCTGACAGGCAGGTAGGCCATCCAGTTATTTTAGCCGGGCCGGCTAAAATGATTGGTCGTGCTTTTTACAGCGCCACGGCTTCCACAGATGAATTTTTTAAATGTATTTATTGTCAAAGCATTTCATATATTCATTGCTATCGGGATGTTAAGAGCATTCCATGGAATATAACAAAGTGTTTCTGAAATAAATTACATACCCCACCTTTTAATGATAGCAATTGTATTGGCACCTGAGATCTGATAATTAGCCATTGAGGGTAAACGAACCAAAGCATTATCTCTAGAAATGTCCTATTGGGTATTGCCAGTGTTGCATAGTCTAGAAATAAGTGTTTCATTCTTACCTGTCAAGATACAGTGATATTTTGACAATGCAAAAATCCCTGATTTGGATATTTGAAAGCAAGTTTGTTTTGACACTTAAAAGCCTCTACGGAGCTCAGTCTTCATATATATCATTGAGTCAGGTTGACATTGAACAGACCACAGACAGAAAAGGTATTGTTCTCACTATTTGAAAGCCCTCTCATAGTGTCCAGTGTATTGTACAGAGGGAGAACGGTAAAAAGTGTGGAAACGGAGACAAAAAATAGACTATCATAGGCGGTGGATTTTAAAGAAAAAAAGGTGAATCAAAAGAAGTGTTGATCAGCAGATCTGAAGAATTTCTGCTCCCTGGCCTTTGAAAATCATAGAAACAAAATTGTTCCACTATGTCAGTCCCTTTGCTGCAACAACATATAAAGTAGACGGGAAAACCATACCATCTGCTCAGGACATTGCTAATCATTGGCAGACCTTCCTTTATTGGCTGAATTCCTTATAGGAACTGCTGATTTGTAAAATGTGAACCTTTCCTCTCCAGCCTCAGCTATCCTGTTGTGTGAAATGTAAAGGGCATGTTTATGCTTATGCGTGACTGTAAATGCTTTGTGTGCTAATAAATCTTAATTAATTGCGGTGTTTCAGATGGAATTGCTGGACAAATTCCCGGTGGAAGGAGGCCAAAAAGACCCTAAGCGCAGGATCATTCCATTCCTACCAGGTAAGAGTTAAACACACAGTGTCGCTCAAGGCCCTAACACACATACAAATGCATGCACGCACACAACTGTGGCTTGTTGATAAACAAAAGAAGAGAAACGCAAATCACTCTTCAAAGATTCTAAAATGTGACAATGTGGTTTTTAATTATATTAAAAGAAATTGACTGTAACTAAGACAAACATTAAAAAATGATTCAATTTATCTGGAAATGTATCATGGAAATTGTTTTTTTGGCACAAAATGTTGCAAGACAATAAACAGAGAAGAGTGACCTCATGTATTAACTCACGAATCACTCTGTATTTACCGCTCCCTGTATTGTGTCTTTTCCTTATCCCTGCTCATTTTGAATTCTCCATCATGTGCACACAATGGGTTAAGATTTGTACATGGATGACTCACTGTGAGTCTGGCTGTGAATGAACTTAGAAAAGCTGTACATTTTGCACACAAAAGAACCAACCAGAAAAATATGCTAGAACCTCACTGATTCTGTGAATCAAAAGAATATGTTTCTCATCTACTCACTATCAGCTGACTCAGCTTATCCTTAAGCATATTGCCCATAGACATATTAAACTATTTTATAAACTAGTTTGGCACCTTGGGTAAATGCTATACTAAAAGTAAATGGTTATAATGTGTAACAGTAATTATGAGCTTTTGTCTTGCTCAACTGCACCTATGTATATCCTGTCTGAATCATCCAGAGTCAAATCTGACTGGCCAAATAATACTTTCTTATTTTAAGTCAACATGGCCAACAAGGTTTGTTTGGAATAAAGGCTTTGGGTGTGCTAGTCCAACTTTTGAAATAGTTGAAGATTTAGTGACTGCTGAAAGTAATCCTTTATGAGAGTTTGGAAGAAAACCTCACCCAAAGACCCCACCCACCTCTCCCCGGGTGGGGGGGATAGGATATGTTTTGTGGCCACGCAGGTCTGGAACTCATTGAGAGAATACACACACACACATACACACACACACACACACACATACACACACACACACACACACACACAGACACACACACACACACACACACACACACACACACACACACACACACACACACACACACACACACACACACACACACACACACACATACATACATACATACATACATACATACATACATACATACATACATACATACATACATACATACATACATACATACACACACACACACACTAGCAGACTGTTTGATGGACTCTGAGTAGGAGGAGGGGAAGAGAGATAGATTACCACAGCTTTTCATACCATCTCCTGCTATCCCTTTATACAGTCAGATGAAGCATATTGGCATACAATTAAAAATGTTCCCATACCAATCCCTGTCTACTGACGCTCTGATTGGTGGTAGAGGCTTTAACTTCTATATAAAAAATAAGTTAAAGACTAAATGGTGCCATGTTGGAAACAGTTATTTTGTGACACAATGTGTGACATACATTATGTATGCTTATTGCCTGCATGAATTGAGAATGATCATTACTAGTCTCTAATGCCAGATCAGGTCATACACCTCTCTGAGACAGATTCCAAGCTAATATTTTGAAGATCTAATATGAACAGGAATTTTCCTGACAGCCTAGAAAATCCTTCAATTACAATGCAGAAGTCTGTACTGTGGGCTGAGAATAACCTAACAAGGCAAAGAAGTGGTTTTCTCTTCTCGGTTTCGTTTGTTCAAGGCCGCGAGCTGTTTTTACTACTTTAGTATCTCCACATCAGCAAAGTGGCTAGTCTGCATGTGTGGATAGTGCAGAATATCTGCTTTGCTTTACACACCAAAGGGCTTGGCTTCTGTATTGTTACACTACATGATTACAAAAAAAAAAATAGTAAAACAAGTATAGGATAGGAGGTAGACTATTTTTTTATTTCAAGATTGCATCCCATGTGCAGAGTATCTATACGCCACTTCTCTTATGGTGTTCAATTTGTTTCTTTTTGAAAGGATCTTGACATTTAGATAAAAGTGATACATTTGATCCGGTGACCCCTGAGCAACGCTCTTTAAGGGGGTCCCAGCAGGTCAGCCTTTGAAAAAGAGCTGATACAAATTATCCAAAGTTGGTGTTGTTAAACTATGAGTCAAAACCTAAGATGGAATGTGGGTCTTTTTTTCTCAGGGCCCCTGCCTGATAAAGGGGTTTTATTCTTTTCATGAACTCTTATTCCACAACTCTGATTTATTTTTGTTGGGTTCCCCTTCTCCTATTAATGATATATATAATATATATATACAGTACATTCTTTTTTCAGCCTCATCTGTTTGCTTGGGGATCTCTCTGCCTGCCACAGTAGGAGGCACAGTATGTCAGGCAGGTCAAATATGTTTCTGTTGGTATGAATAACACATTCCACAGTCGGATCTCTATGAAGGACAAACCGAACAGTTACAGTGTTCTAGTTGCTTATGCGTCATTCAAGTCATGTTCATCCTTTGCCTGAAGGGAAAGCAATTACTGCGCTTGTCTACTGAAATTAGGAGCAGCAGACATGTCTTATGGAGTTGTTGTCGAATTTCAAAGCAGTCAATTTACTGTCCTCAATTTTGTGACTGAAATCTGACTGAAGTCCATTGGCTGCAGTCGAATAGTCCAAAAATCAGCTCCTAAGTTCTAACCCTATCGTCTATTCCTTGACCTCTGAGTGAAATGTCACGGGGTTAAGGGATAGTCGATAGGAGAATTCAAAAGGATTTAGGAGAAGAGACTGCTGTACTTTAGAGAATCCGACTGCACTTTCACTATCCAACGTGTTTATGATGCGCCAGTGGACGTCATAAATGTGCGTCTGCTGCTGTGGGGAAACTATGGAAACTACAGTTTTCTATACAGCAGACTACAACATGGTGTATAATAAGAAGGAGGGACTACTGTAAACTCATCTAGAGACTCTGCACCGTGCTCTGATGCTGTTGTTTTATGCTTTTTGAACGTGGACAACATGACCAAAGTTGGAATTGAAATAAAAAAGGAAAGTGAAACTTATGCTCGTCACCCTCTCCCTCCGGTCCACATTAATACAAATGATCCCAAAGATTGTATGAACTATGAAAAGATCTTAAAATCAATACAAATGTATTTATTATAAACGTTAGTCCTTAACATCTATCACTGTGTATATCACCATTCAAACATCTTTTAAAAGTTGAACAAACCCCACACAGCTCAGTAGGCTAAAGACTGTGAAATGTTGACTTTATTTGATCATTTCAGTAAAACTAATGTTCATATTACTACTACTTAGTTCAGAACAAAGCACTTTGGCAAGTTAACACATACGTTTAAAAAAACGTAATAAGCACCGTAACTTTCATGATATCATTTCTCGGTCATAATCGGTTGTTTCTGTGAACGGCCGACTGTTGTGTGATGGCAAATGCTGCGGCTGCAAGGCATTGGGGGGCAGCATTTTCTCCTCTCCTTTCGGTGAGGGAGGTCCAGTGGTTCCTAAGCTAAAGGAGGTTATAAAGGAAGTTTGAAACCTCCTTTCCTATCATCTAGAGAATTTGAACGGCACTTATCATGGCTGCCACTGAGGGACTTCGGGGTCATTTCACTCGGTTAGGAAGGTTCCTAAGCTAAATGGACTATTGGACTGCAGCCCATGTATTAAGTCTACGGCCTTGGTGTTATTTGAAGGTTTTAGCTTCTCAAAATCTTTTTTAATAGCAACTCGGCAAGTTAAATGGGAGGAATTGATCTGTGGTTAGTCCAGTGATTAAGAGGTGAGTGTTGTAACAGCTTTCTGTGTCTGAGGTGTATAATAAAGAGCCTCTGTGTTCAAATCTATTTCTGTCTCTTCTGTCCATCCAACTCCCTGACCCCAGGAAACAAGAGTTGTTTGAGACTCTGGTCCCTGCTAGCTCTGAGTTTTACCATAAAGTCTGCCCTGCCTCTGCCATGGCTCCAAGGCAGCAGCTTTACTTTCCTCCCGCCTCCTTCCCTAAACAAGCCTTTTTTCTCGGCTGCACCCATGAGCTGCCCTGCATACAGAGTGGGCAGTGTTGAGTCAGTGCTGACCCCTGAGAGCTTTGGAAAACCGTCAAGAAAGCTTTCTGTTTGAGGAGTGACTAGTGGAGGAGAGGAAGAAAGACGGAGAGAGAGGAGGAGAAGTACTGAAGGCATTGAGGGGTTGACTTTCAAATCTCTTTTTTTCGTGAGCTGTCCTGACAGTGTGTCCTTTCGTCGGCTCTGGCAAGTTGTTGCCAACTCCTTAGTGATTTAAAATGTCTTCTCTCATTCTTCATCTACTTAATCTCTCCTTTTAATAGTCTCCCTAATATATTACGATACTGTTCCCCTCTTGATAAATGTGGTAAGAAATTGGGCTGGTCAGGCCATTTAGACCATGTCAACAAGACAAAATAGTCTACAGCCATGCTGGTGGCTCTGTGGAAACTGTAATGCTCATGCATCTAATTGTAAAGTAGAAAAAAATTGAGGTACAATTTTTGTTGTAGATCCCTAGTGAGTGTGGTAAAGTATAAAAACTCTCTGTCGCTTATCCACACACTCATTACAGCAGCCAGACATTTTTTTCCAGCATTTGAGAACAACAACCTTAAAGGGTTGCTTTTGACTTCTGTTTATGTCAAGTTTCACATTTGAGACAAAGGTTTCATATAAAATCTTATGACTAAATCCATGTCTATCTTATTGTATCACATTTCAGTGGTTTATTTTTGTAAATAAAGATTTAAGAATTTGGATTTAGTTTGTTTAATTTGTACATACATTTCTAACATCGGTAACATTGATACAAACATTATTATAACCTTATAACATCAAACATGAGTTTAACTAAAAACAATCAATATTCCCTTGGGATGTATTTTTCCCCTCCCATGCTTCTATATGAATTCGATTTGTTTTGGTTTTTGCCTTTGGTTTCGTCGTGCATCTGAGTCAGCTAGTAGGTTAAGGTCAGACATGGGATGGTTGGACAGAGGTTGTGTTTTAGGGAGTTAGGTGTTTGTGTTTTTTGTGTAACATGTGTGAGATCTGAGTTCTTTTGAGGAAGTCGCCGCACCTCAATCCACTGAGCAGCTTCATTACATATTCTCCCTCTTTTCTTTATATAGTCCTTTCCTCCATGGATCATTTTATGCAATCTTGATTCACAAGACAAACAGTAACATATGGGCATACATATTCATAATCAGATACTGGTATGATCACAAACAATCTCTGTGTCATTTCATCAATATGTCATTCACTCAAATACACAAAACAAACACATGTGGTTTCGAGCTGTATGGGTCAAGGAAGCAGAAAGGCATTTTTAGTAACATGGGTAAAAGGGTGGCGATCTTCTGTGAGATAGATTCTTGTTTCAGCAAGTCTGTTTTAAATATATTCTAAATAAATACCATAACTCCTTGATGGAGGGGATACATTAACTTCTAAAAACATGTCCCGTTCTCTGTTCAGGATCTCGTTGCAGCCTTGACTTCCTGCCCATTTTATATGTTTGCATTAGAGCCGTCTTGGTAGGGAAATAGATGTTGGCTCTGAAATGTCCTGCTGTCAAGTTATAATAGTATTTTGAGAGGCCTATTTGAAGCCATTTCTTGTTATTGTTATGGCGACCAGGCTCGGTGCCAGTGGGTATTTGGGCCTAGAGATAAGAGCAGGGGAATAGCATTTAAGCTGCCATGCACACGTAATTTGCTTTCCCAAAATCATTTATTCATGACTTGAAAAGGCCAGCTATTCACCTAGCTCCTTACCCACCTCATTGTGCTGTCAGAGTTATTGATGACACGACTGTATTGTGTCTGCATGCTAATTCACTAACCATTCTTTTAAAAAGCCACAGTGTCCTTGTTGTCCCTCAGTGGATCACTACCTATTCAAAGTTGCTCTTGACGAAGTAAAACATTTCATGTTTTAATATATTTTTACTTTTATTTATGTAACATATACATACTTTCCTATTACAGCAAGAGCAATAATTAGAAATTATGTCCTTTTGGTGTTGATGAATATTTGTTTATAAGTTTGGCTTTCGTGAATTCTAAGTCACTTTTTCATACTTTGTTACAGGGAAGATCCTGTTTAGGAGGAGCCATATCAGAGATGTGGCCATGAAAAGGCTAAGGCCCATCAACGAGTACTGCAGGGTGAGTATTAACCATACTGTTTCTTTATGTGGAAATCTCCAATATTCATATGAAAAGCTATCCAGAGACCATTTCAATCTTTAATACAAAGTACTAAAACCAAGATAAAAAGTACAGTGGGTCAAGGGCTAGGAAAAAATGATCCCACCCACAATGTGTCAACTAAGTCATGAACAGGAAAATGGAAAAATCATCTTTTCATGCCCTCTGTTTATAAAGGAGATCCACAAGTCCAGTTTTTTTTTTAGCACATTCAATTTTACACTAAACAACCCTACCATCTGATTTCAGGAGTTGCTCGTTTATGGTTGGATATGTCTTGGATTACACATTTGGGACATTTATCTGTCAGATATTCCAATTGAAAGATGTAGTTATATTGAGCTCATAGCCACACTACTGGAGATGCATAACAAAAGGTTTTCTAGGATTACAGTTTTCCAAGAACAGCTATATGAATTATGCCATTGCCCTTGCTTTGAAAATGTGCACTGTGCTGTGTGTGTCATTCTAAATTCCCTGGAGGAGGCCTTTGTGACAGAAGGCATTCAGCCTGCTGAGGTGTCCTAAAATCTCCCCAGGTGCTCTGTAGCTGACTCTGACCTCCCTGCTAAAGGAGACAAACTCAAAGAGAGTCTATCTCAAGGGATCCATATTGAAAGGGCAAAAATTGGTTTGTGTGTGGCGAAATGCGAATAAGATGTCCTATCTCCTCCCAAATGCACGATTAACCTCCAGAAGACATTTAGAAATGTCCTTAATATGTTTCCGCTGTTAAGTTGCTGTCACCGATAAAAAAAAAACACGATGAACTCCGCTTCTAAAGAGCGTGTAATGTGTTTGTGGTGTCAGTTTTATCCTTATACAAATACTGCAGCCATTTCCACCAGTTAATACAGAGAATGTAAAATCTGTGCATTATCCACCCTATTACATGGCTTTTACCAGAGAGATGAATCACTTGGCATCCAGAGAAAATGCAACTGTACATTCTCAGGCTCCACTGTAGCAGAACTGCACCCACACAACTGCCAATAGCTAGCAACTAATTGCTACAATTTGACATAAATGTAACTGCGGCAACATCAGTGAATAAACCGTGGTTGATGTTCAGCTTCTTAGCACCAAGATGAGGTTGTTTGCCCTTGAAATTAAATCAAAGGAATAGTTTTCCATTAAAGAAAACAATAAATGTACAACATTTCCATTTGTTTTATTAGGTTGCCAACTGTTTATCTGCAGAAACCACTGAGTGAGTTTGTTTTGCAACCTGGGTTCATTACCTTTGATGATCGGGCAACTCCAAACGGATATTTTCAGAAACACTAGGATGGATGAGCTGTTGATGGATCTCATGTTGTTGTGGCTACTTTCTGAAGAGAGTTATGCCAAAGGCAGAGAGCTTGCTGAGTTTGCTTCAGTCAGCACATCCACAGCCAATAGGTTGTGTTATTTTCTCTTTATTTTACAAGCTTGCCTTTGGGCCTCTAACCCAAACACACAACTCCATCTGTCTCTCTGAGGTAGGAAATGTGAGGATGTTAGTTCTGACTTAGCCCTTACTCATACCTTCATGCATTTTCACCTGTATTATTGTATCACTTCTCCATAAAGAGTCTAGTGAAACCATCATTGTTCACGTTTGTTTCTGTTATGGTGCTGATAGGTCACAAGGCCTCAGAGTGAAGACATCTCTTTATGTATGATGAACATCGGTGCAAACTGGAGGGACTGGAGAATATAAAGCTCTACTTCACCAAATGTCGTCTGGGGTTAAAGGAATGTACAGTGTATGAGACATCTTTAAACACTTATGTGAAACATAAAAGTTTGGGGGAGTAATGGGTAAAGTTGTTTGTTCATGTCGAGTAGTAAGCAATCATTTACATTAACAATGTATGTGAGAGCATAAAGTGGAAAAACATGTCAGCAGCCCACGATAGCATCATATAGCTCAGGATGAAGTGACTTCAGGGTATTACAGTAACTTCTCAAACAAATCTGAACTTGTCCGTAAGCACAGAAATGGCAATTTCATCCACCCCCACATGCACCCAGGTTGACAACGTGAACATTCATGTTTTTCTCTAGTGAAGAGCTGATTCAGCCCTTCTGTTGTACAGCTGAGGCTTTAACCTGACTCATATGGAATTTCCCCGGTTGTTAAGTTTTGTGTTTTTATGCAGCTCAGGAAACGCAGTCGGAGAGAAGAAAGAAGGAAAGAAAGAATATGGAGTCAGGGACTGTTTGCATAAACCAAGAGTAAGACTGCTGAGCTAGGATGACTTGGAAGGTCACACATCTTGAAATGCATCACATCAAAGAGTTATAAAGTCATTTTAACATCAATTTATTTTGCCAGTAATTAAAATATATATAAAAAAGAGTTCTATAACTGAAAGACTACAATTTAAGGAAGTCTATTTCCTCAAAATGTCTTTATTTTCTTTTTTTTCAAAAGAGTCGCCACAATTTTGTAGTGATTTATTTGAGATGTATCAGAGGGAAAAATATAACCTTACAACTGAGGATATCTACTATGTACAAGTGCAAAGTTATTGTGCTCAGATGCATTCACAATGCACTGTACCTTATTGGAGTGCACAAATAGATCTCTCATTTCCATTACCTTTTTTCCTTGGAGAGAAAAAACACACACGCACACACACACACACACACACACACACACACACACACACACACACACACACACACACACACACACACAATTACCTTAATGCTGCCTGCTGTAAAGAACACCCATAAAGTCCATTTGCTGTAATGTACCCTGAGCCTCCCTCGCGTCTCCTCCCAAGGGAGAATTATAATGAGAGGACGGCCCACAGGTTGACATGAGGGGAGGAATAAATCCAAGGAGAGGATGGCCAGTTTAGGATGCACTCTGACCTCAGACACAGTGCAACAGTGTCGGCTGAGGGAATACACATTGGAGGTCACCCATAAAAACTCTTAAAGGTCCCATGTCATGGCCATTTCTACTGATCATAATTTCATTGTTGAGGTATACTATAATAGATTTATACTGTGCAATTTTCCAAAATCAAATTGGTTCCTCATACAGCATCTCTGTATAGTATATGAGCCCACTGTGCTCTGATTGGTCAGCTCGCCCACTCTGTTCTGATAAGATCACCACCGTTACAGCGGAACATCAGTGATTATGTGTTACAATGGCGTTGGCAACCAGAAAATGACACCAGTAATGACAAACGGATGAGAATGCTGCGTGGGGTCTGGGTGCCGTGTTGGCGGGACGCTGCTGCGAGGAGCGGACAGTGTGAGTTGGGTTCATTTCCTGCAAGGTGCGTGAGGTCTGCGAGACAGCGAGACATCGTGAATGGACGCGGGAAGGAGGGGACGCTGAGGGGGTTGCAGCACCCCCATCTGCGAGGCCCCACTAGCAACCGCATCCCCAAACGCGGCACACCTACAGTGTAAGCGTGCCACAGTTTCGCCGCAGAGAGAGAGAAAGTGTGTGTGTGTGTGTGTGAGTGTATGTGTGTGAGGAGCTCCACGGATTGGTCCATTAGAACCAATGGGTCCATTTGGGTATAGGCACGTCACTGTACCCAGGAAGAACAAGAAAAATCTCCAAAGAGGCGTTCTGGTGCAGCATAGACACAGACAGGTATTTTCTGTGTTAGAGTTTTACTCGCTACAGGGTGTACTTTGAGGGTTTGTGACTTTGCAGACCGTTTACATGCATAAAAACCTTCATAACACACAAAGGGACGGGTAATAACCGGAAAAGCATGACATAGGCCCTTTAAACCAGCTACTTAGCTTTAGAGTCTCAATTTATGGAAGAAGCTACTGTGAAAATGTAGATTTTGAGGTCATGTGGGTGCATCTTAATCAAGCTATATTGTATGTGCCATGAATCACATACAAACATGTGAGCACTATACTCTACGGCTAATGGAAAACACTAGTTATACTTTATCCATGGCAGTATTCCCATTCCTCTCCTCTAACACAAGCTTTTGGCATGCAGGTACAGTATAGTCATAAGTATGACAAGGCAAATGTGGTGCATGGGACAAGGGCACCTTGGTTGAGTATTTGGCTCCCTTTCTATTTCTGTTAGTCATGACAGTATATGGCTGTGTCTGAGAGTGAGAGAAGTAGACATAGATTCTGTTCTTTTTAAAGGACAGGGCTGAAACACTTAGGAGTATTAAAATCAGAGGTATAGGCCGGCAGAGGAAGCGTGATGGATAGCATTGAGCTAAGCCTGCCAGCAGAAGAAGAAGAGGGAGTGGCTTAGCTCCCCGCTGTAAGAGAGACATTCACCACAGGGTCGTTGGCGGGAGTTATTCTGTCTCCTGGTTTGGGACATCAGGGTGTTGAGGTGATTATCTGTTTCACTGCTGCCCTTTAGTGGTTTGGTAGAAAGAGATTGAAAGAGTAGGAGAATCAGATAACACAGACTCAGGAGAAAACTAAAAAAGAAAGGGCTAAGAAACAGAGACTGTGGGATAACATGATGTTATCAGACATGTGTGCAAGAGAGTGATCACAACAATGAAGAGAAAACTGAATGTGGCGGTTTTTCTTTCATCTCCAGCCTTGTTGTCAGGGCCCATGACTCTGCCACCAGTAATGCTCCACAGAGGAAAAAGATTAGGGAGGAAGGTAGGCGAGATGGACAATGAACGAAAAAACAGAAAACAAACCAGCTGGTGTGATTGAAAAACCCTGCATAAAGACAACGGAAAATAACTAGTTTGTTCTCTTCATCTGGAAATTGAACACCAACGGAGTCAATTACATAACAATAAGAACCTATGATTGTTGCGTTTATGTAAAATAGGCGACAAACAGCTTGGGTTATCAAAAACAACATTTTGAGGATTTCCAAATGTGTCATGTATGGTGAAAATAATTGTTTGGGAAATGAAATCTTAATAGAGAAAAACAATTCTTTCTCAAAGCATTCAAGGGGACAAACACTTTTTATGTTGTGTAAAAACTAAAGCCAAAACACCATCAGACCGTTTAGAAAAAACAAGTTTCATCATGCCTTTTGGACACTGTAACACTATTCTCCTCCCCTGTGAGGAGGGAAGTCTGAGAATGCCTCTTAAATACTGTCTGTAGTAATTGCTTGCTCCGTGACTTTAGGGAGCCCAGACAGTCATGAACACTATATTTAACCTCTGCTTGACTTCTGTATGCACTGGAGTGATTGTACTTTTATGTGATTAACTAAGTTTTCTGCTTTCTTTGTGCCTGCAGGCCCTCATTCAGCTTCCAGTGTACATCTCCCAGTGCGAAGAGGTCAGAGTGTTCTTCGAAACTAGACCTGAAGATATCAACCCACCCAAGGAGTGAGTACCAGACATGGGCAGACACAACCCTCAGGCTCACATACTGTACAAAGAAAAACACACACGTTTTCCCTTAATGATGTCATGTCAAGTCACATCCTGCCAACATTTACCTCCTGCCTGCCGATAATGAGCATCCATTACGCCCTCTAATGGATATGATTTCATATCTTTGCACTACTTCCTGTCAAAGTTTTAAAGCAAAAACACACGTAATGTGTCCTTTTTGAACGCTGAGTTAGCATTTTAGCATGTAGCAGCAGGCCAGTTCAGCCAACAGGCTCCAGACAGCTGAGGCTGCATGGGTGCTCCGAAGGCATGTAGACCTGCTCTGACTGTCTCTTGTAAATATCACTCAGCACATTAGGGTCATATCCAGCGCTGACAGATAATGTGTTCCAAAACGTAGACGTCAGCTGGCAATGAATGCCAGTATCCGACACGCACAAGCACGCGTTGACACGCACACGAGCCTCAGCTCCAAATGTGTTGTTATTACAGTTACCACTTTAGGCAGTGGAGGTTATGGGTGGTCGTTTTCACAGACCATAATGTGCTGTGCAGCTGACATGTTGACCCTGGATATGGTTTTTACACCAAGAGCTTTCAGCTGAGTTATTAGTTTTAACCTCTTTGTCGTCACATACTGATGTGAAGCACCGGGCATTGAGAAGTTTCCTCAGTCGGCAGGAAATTGAGTTGATAAGTCCTGCGATTTATTCCGTGAGTGCATGTTGTTGTGACTAAAGCCCATGTAAGGGAGTGGGGGTTTCAATTTGCAAGACAAAAAATCTGCTGAATCTGCATCCATTTTTTTTTTAACACATCATTTATTCATTTTGGTCACATTATTCATTGGTCTTTCTGAGGTTCAGGCAGCTGTTGTCTCTCAAAGTCACCTTGACATTTAAAACTGCTGCTACCTTTTGATTAATTTGCAGAGTTGGGAGTAAGTCATACATGTGCAAGTCATGAGCAAGTCTCAAGTCTTAACCTACAAGTCTCAAGCAAGTCCCAAGTCACTGTGGTGAGAGTCAAGCAAGTCAAGTCAAGCAAGTCACAAGTCAAGTTATACGAAATTCCCCCAGTTCCTGCATTTAAATCAGTTAAAATATTGTGGTTATGAAAAGTTTATTTTTATTTTCAACATAAACAGCAATGGAGAGTGGGGCGCTGAAATGATAACCCTATAAGTTCTAAAAGGGCTCTAAAGTGATAACAGGAGTAACACAAATATTTTACATCAACATGTTAAGCCTCCTGCCCTGGCTCCCCTTCAGCAGGGTCACAGCTTTTCTCCATGGTCTGTCTAAAGTGCTCCCATATGACACTGTCTCATTGTTTTCCTAACTGTGTCTGTGCACAAAGAAATATTGCATCAAAGCCAATACAACGGAATAGTGTATGTACCAGGGTGCATGATATGTGTGTGTTTGTTTGTGTGCAGACAGTGCGACATTAAGATTAAACACATTTCTTTCATTTGGGAACACCCACATATACATATGGAGTTGGCCAGATGTGTGTAAATTACTGTTCATGGTCATTTGAAAACAAATGCCGTTGTCGAACGCACAGAAACACCGAACACACAGAGCAGAGCTGAGCAGAGCACACACGCATCATGCGCCTTAGTGACCGGACATCTCCTTCATAAAACGAGTAATAGGGGGATTAATCGGGCAGTTCGATGTGTGTAGAGGTGTGTGTGGTTAAACGTAGCAGCCTGCGGTCGCTCTTCAGCTGTTCTAATGAAAGTAAACACAGTGAAGGCGTTGCGTAAAAGGCACAGCTCTTTGCAGGCTGGTGCTGCACCTCTCAGAGGGCGGAGTTACACGTCCCGCTGCCTCCTGGTGCTGTAGCGATTTCATGAAGTGAATGAGAGTCCGAGTTTGAAATATATTTAAAATAATGTATAGACTGCCATTTCCCAACATAAACATTACAGTCTGCAATGAAACGGCTGTCTCCTGTGTGCTCCACTTCCTACTTGGCGCTCCGGTAACTTTGTCTTGCGATCGAGATACAGTATCTTTTTTTTTTTTCATTGCCCTTTAGAGGCTCCGTACAATACAAAAACAAATGCAAATATTTAATTAAAAAAAGTAAAGTCCTTTCGAGTCATCTGTCTCAAGTCAAGTCAAGTCTTAAGTCATGAATACCAAGTCAAAGTCAGTTCAAGTCTTTTATCAATGTTAGTCAAGCAAGTCTCAAGTCCAAAATTATGCAACTCGAGTCGGAGTCGAGTCAAGTCATGTGACTCGAGTCCCCTGTTACGTGCTCCCCTCCTGTTTGTCTCTCTGTCTCCCAGTGCTGCACAGACACACCTGGTCCGCCCCTGGCTCCGCCTCCCCCAGGTGTCCTAATTACGTTTAGCTGGGGACTTGAAAAGCAGAAGCTGGAGGAGAAGAGTTCTCTT